CCCCGGGGAGTATACCTCCTGGAATGATGATGCCAACTGAAAATATGATGATGGGTCCAGAGATGTTCGGTGGTCCAAACCAGATGTTTCCTGTTCCGCCAGAGGGATTTAATATGCAACAAAATATGTTTCCGATGGACTTTAACATGGCAGGAGCTCAAGGGCCCCCAGGCCCTGAAGGTTTCCCCAGTCCCGGCAATTTCCGAGGAGCAATGCGTGGTCGCGGGGCTGGTGGGCATTGGCGAGGAAAAAACTCTGGAAACTGGGATGGTACACAAAGGGGTAGAGGTGGTCATGTTCGGGGAGGACGCAAGGCTGTTTGTATATATTTCCAACGAAAAGGTTCTTGTCGGCAAGGTGACAATTGTTCATTTTTACATCCTGGGGTTAATTGCCCTTATTAAGTAAAAAAAATACTAAAATAAGCATGATATTATGTTGTAATAGAAGGAAAATAAAATATTTGTTTTTCTCAAAGAATGTTGAGTTTATGAACGTTGGTAACTTAAAGGTGTAAAGTAGGGTTAGATACTCGAAAAGACTGTTTAATGTAAATAATTAATATGTAAATACATAATATTGTAGGATAAGTGAGTAGGTAGGAAGCTATGTACTGTTTATATAAAAATGAAAATAAACGGAGTTGTTTAAATTTTTTATGGAATCTTATTTCAACCTAATATTATCATAATCCTATTTTAATCACCACATAAAAATTGAAACGCTTTCCTATGCGTTCATAGGTTGATTGATGTGTTGTCGACTGTACATACTGTACGGTAAAATGTAAAAACAATATAATTACATAATTTAAATACAGCCCCAAAATCGAACCTGGGAACCGTTCACTGCTAGTCATTATAACACCTCCCAACTAACAGAAAATTACGAATAAAAATTATAGTTCCAAAATACTGGACTGTCCTGTCGATGACATTGACAGTGGGGCGCCACCGTCAATACCGGATCGCTGGTTCAGATTTTTGCCATGTTGGAAACCATATAGTTGAACGATGGTAGCGTCCCCCTGTCATTGAGTTTGGCGGGACAGTTCAGTGTGGGTCATCTATACGCGTCATTTCTTTTTATTACCTATTCCCCNATGCGGGCGGCCGCTAGTTGAATGATGAATCACTGAGCAATTAATTTGTTGAATATTATGACTAATTTAAAATTATGCAGTTTTAGCGTCCTACCTACTAATATTACAAATGGGAGTATGGAATAGTATAGATGTTTGATACTCTTTCACGTAAAAACTGCCTAATAAACGGATGTTTAGTCAACTTTACAGAAGACAATATTTTTTATACATGAGAATAAAAAATATTGTCAAGCATTATACTTAGCTTTTGCCCACGGCTTTGTCCGCATAAAATTTTGTCTGTCACAGAAAAAAAATATAGAGCGCATTCCTGTTTAAAAAACCGGGACCCGGCACTCAAAACTATCTCTTTACCAAATATCAAAATCGGTTCAATGGTTTATGCGTGAATTCGTAACAGACAGACAGATAAAGTACTGTCGCATTTACTCGTATAATATTATTTAGTAGGGATAATTCATAACGATCTGTTAAAAGCAAGTAAAGCAGATTTTGGAATAGTCAGAAATATTACCGGTACCAACAACTTATATTTCTTTCGTTAACAAGATGTTAATTAATATTTGACATACGTTTAGGTATTTAGTTTGTCAATAAGGCATTTAGTCAGGTAGGTACTCCAGTACTTCTTAAATGTTACAAAAATATATGGCTTCTAAATACCCAATGTTTGCCAGGGGGGACAACAGTCCTTAAATCATTGATTGAAAATCTAGTCCTGTTGTCTCCCCTAGCCAGGGGGGACAACAGGATTTCGAAATCCTGTTGGCTCCCCTAGGGGGGCCAAGCAGGGGGGACAACAGGACTGCACCCCAAAATCGAACCTGGGAACCGTTCACTGCTAGTCATTATAACACCTCCCAACTAACAGAAAATTACGAATAGGGGAATAGGTAATAAAAAGAAATGACGCGTCACGCCATCTAGTGAGAGTAAATAGTACAAGAGTGAGTATGGTGTCAATGGCGAGTGTGGGCGAGACCATGAAGCTACAGATAAAAATGGAGGCCACACTCCGAATACCTACTTGAAGCACAAACTAAGTATCACTGTCTCGCTCTCTGTGGGCAGACTCGCTCTTTCTAAATAAACAAAAAATATAAAATTGCTCAAATTCAATGAAACCAATGTAAAATCTTTATTTCTTGACATAGGTATCATTAAAAATGATAAGTGTAATAAATAGTAAAACGTTTTAGGAAGAAATTACTGTAAAAAATGTGAAAAATGTTTACAATGATCCAATGTCGGAAATCACGAAATAAACACTTACGCGTGGAATCTTATGTCACTTCCAGGACAGCACGTACTACCGCAACCACGCACTACAAAATTTTGCACCAATTCTTGTGATAAAACAATGATTATTTCCTGTAAACAATCTCAAACGAAATTAACTGCTTAATAAACAAAATAGTAAACAACCGCCATGATGGGCCGGATTGGGCCGATGTTGCCATATTTGTTTAACTTCTGATTTGGTTAGTGAATTGGCTATTTCGAAGAATTTACAAGGAGATTTAAATCAGAAGATAGCAATACTACAGTTCACACTAAAAAGAGAGGTAGGGCCGCAGAGAGCGAGATAGATATAAGTAGGTATTTGACTCAAGTTTTTGTTCCAACTCTGCCCTCCATTTTTATCTTTAGCTTCATGGGCGAGACGCAATTTGGGCAGGGGCATATTCACAGATGAGACAGGGGCGTATTAAAGCTACCGCCGCGCGCCGTTCACAGAGCATGTGTAGGTAGAGATGGGTAGTGGGTAAAAACCCATTTCACCCGATTGGGTTTAAACTGGGTGATTTGGGATAATTCACCCATTCTGGTGGGTGAAAACAAAAATAGCGTTTTTTTAAAGTGAGAAGTGGTATTTGTTGCTAAGGGGGCGTTCTAGTGTTACGTAATGCAATCTGGGGGGAGAGGAGGTCTTGAAAAACGTTACAATGCGTTACAGTGGCGGAAGGGCAATCGATTTCAAGTTTTCAAGCAGAAGTACTTTGTAGTTGGTGTTGTTATTTGTAACGTTATACCGTAATGTCATCAAAGAGAGAGTTTGGCATCTTTGGCATCCCCCCCTCCATGTCCTTGCCATGATCACAAATTATTGTGTTCCTACTTAATTTCTTTTAAATCGGTTCAACGATTCTTGAAATAACACCATTTTATAAAATAATTGGTCACAACATCATAACGTGATCAATTTTACGATTCGGCCACGATATAAATGCATATTAGTGTTAAATTTGACTTATTACTTATTAATCAATAAACTTAAATGAGAAAAATTCAATAAAAATAAAGAAAAGATACCAATTGAAATAATTATAAAATTATTGGTTTTCACCCGGTGTAAACACCCACGGGTGGAATGAAACGGGTTTTTATTGGGTTTTTACCCTCATGTGGGTTTTTACCCGGGTGGAAACCCATCTCTATGTGTAGGTAGGTAATAATACTGCCTGCCGTTACCTGACGCGGACATAATCAAATTAAATACTGGGGTCCTATCCTAGTGCCAGACAATGTAAACATCTGTCTGTCTAGGACTAGGAACACAGATATGGATTAGAGTAGATACAGCAAGTTGCTCGTCAAAGCGTGCCATTCCGATATGTCCAAATGGACATACATGCTCGAGTGATGTTCACGTTGTTAATTGTATTCCGATTACAACAATCGGATACGATGATTTTACGAGAACAGTAGTACGAACACGGTAGAAAGAAGAAATTATTAACGGATTGAGAATTTGAATTAACAGCACAAGTTAAAAATAATTAAATTAGAATAAAGTAGCAGTAGAAGAAGTATAAAGTAGCATTGTTTTTAATACAGGAAATAAAAAATATCGGAAATAGTTATCAGAGAAATAATGATAAAATCACAAAATTTAACACCAATCCTTCATTAACCAAATGTCACATTATCAGTAAGGTTTTGCATTATTTTATTAATAGCAATATTTTTAATTCCTTTAAAAAACATTAAGTTTGATCAACCGCCCCCACAGAAAATCATTTAAATTAAGTCGTTTAGAAATATCTTCAAAACTAGGAACCTGACTTAGCTTTATGAAACTAAACGTATTGGCAAAACTACGCATTTTTACATTTATTATCTGTGACTAGGAAGTTCTATAATTTTGCATTTTTTTTATGAAAATGGCCCCTTGATCTATTTTAGATCGGACTCCCAACAAATGATACAAAAAAATACGCACTGGATCAATGGGAAAGAAGCCTGCATATTTTTTCGTGTTTAAGCACAGAATAATACCTACTTAAGTGCGTACGTACGGCTATAATATGTCCCTGACATGGAACATAACGATACACGAAATTAAACCCTGCACTAATACAAAAACTTAGATCCTACTAATATTATAAATGCGAAAGTTTAGATGTCTGGATGTTTGTTACTCTTTCACGCAAAAACTACTGAACGGATTTTGATGAAATTTTACAGTTTGATTTTTTATAACCCAGATTAACATAATAGGCTATAATTTATGACGATCTGTGACAAATTAAATTTCACGCGGGTGAAGCCGCGGGCAAAAGCTAGTACATAATACGACGGACGCTTGGCAGCACTAGCGTAATCGATTAAGAGCCACAATGTGGTCTTTTTCTTAAATTAAATGACCGCAACAAAATTGGTTAAAAAACATTGTTTCACACACATTTTTGTTTGCATCAACAATATTAATTTTTGCTTTCCATGCGCGGTGTTAAGGTTTTTTTTTGTGTTGTGGTAAAGTGGTAACCTAAACGTCAGATAGTCAGCTGACTGAAGTTCATTGATTTAATTTTAGATTTGTATGGAATGTGGTATGGAACCTCACTATTGTTTTATCGAATCGAATACGTCAATGACCCTGGCTTAAAATGATAGTGATTCTGAGTCTTGATTGAGTTATGAGTATTTTTTTGCTTACACAATACAACCAGCTGATCCGGCGAGATCTGTTGAGTCGTCTGAGTTTGTGATAACGTTGTTATTTTAGTTTGTTACGTTAATGTTTAGGTAAAATTATTGTAGAATTTTAAGGATTTTTGTGATGAGATGGTTAGCTACATGGACTTTTTTTATAGGTCCATGGTGAGCTACGACTACGTATAAGTAACTAGGTAAGTGTTTTTGTTTTGTTAATACAAAGAACTTTGTTTTATGGACTAAGTAGAAATTATTGAGCCCTGGAGTTTAAAATCAAAATAGGTATTTCACATTAATAATTCTGATGTAAGTAATTCTTAGAGGATTATACTAAGGTTGGGGGAGGCCTATGTTCAGCAGTGGATGTCCTATGGCTGAAATGATGATACAAAGGTACCTACCATAATTGATTGCATCTGTTTAAAAAACCAAGTTTGTCAACATAGTCACTGGCATAGATTAATATTTAAACTTTAAGGTCACTGGCCTCTCATAAAAATGAAAAACCTTTGTTTGGGTGACACATAGGGGTAGTGACTGTAGTTGTCAGTTACATTCAGTGTCAGTCATATCACCACCTATACAACTAAACAAACCTACACTGGCCATTTTAAAATTGTTCCTACTGTCTAGCTTGGATACCTTTTACCATTAATAATATTCTTTTAGATAAAAAAACNAAAAAAAGTTAAGACATTTATTTACATTGGACATAATGCAACGTTGGTTTTTTTTAGAGGATCGCAAGAAAGCAAAAATTAAGGTGCAGAAAAAAATGTCTGTAAAAGAGCCAGAACCAGTACAAGAAGTTACTTCACAGCAATGGATCTTCACAGTGTCAGTATTAGATGTAGGTCCCAAAGAGAAAGTGTGTATTGCAGGCAGTACTCAAGAACTAGGTGAGTGGGACTACAACAGAGTAGTCATAATGGATCATGAGCAAGGCACAGACTTATGGACGAAAACGGTTACAATACCTAACACTTGTGACGTATATTATCGATATGCAGTTTGTATTCAGCTTGAGGACACAAATGATATTACTATACGTCGTTGGGAAACTAACATACACCCCAGAGTTATTAGTGAAAATATGTTGCATCCTACAACTGATATTTTTGGTGATTATGATGGCAGGCATAAAGTTGGATCTGGCTGGTTGACTGCTCAGACTCTGGTGCAGTTTAAATTTGTCAACAATCCTCTCAAGTTGAAGACTCGTCTGTCAGGCAGACTCATGAACATTAAAGTTACTCCAGTAAAATTATCCTTTGGGACTGAACCGCAGGTTGAAGACTCTTTAAGCACTGATACAACAGAAGCAGAAATGCCTACAGGTGTATTCGTTGATGTTTCTACACTAGATAATGATCCTCTAGTATGCATTCCAAAACCTCAAGAACAATTTGGAAGGGAGTACAAACCTAATGATGTAATGCTGGTAAATGTGGTAGCTCCTGATCCTAAAGGTCTAGCTTACCTTATAGACTTTTATTCATACAGTTCACGTGCTTCATCAGAAGACCCACCATGCCATGTCGGTTATACATATGTTCTCCCAAACATGTTTAAGTTATCAGAAGGCAGCTTAGAACTCCCTGTCACCTGCAATGTAAAGCATAGGCCCCTAGGGACAGTCAACTTTGAATATTTAATAGTTCGCCCAATGGCAGAAAAACTTTGTGACTTGCAAGTGTCTTATACCAAACATTGGGATCCATCCTGGACCGGATTGGAAGTAGGGCATCGTGGACTTGGGGCTAGTTTTAAAACTAAAGAGTAAGTAAATAATTTATTTTAATTGGTAATGTTTGAATATCATCCTGTATATTGATAAGAACTGTTGTATATTTACACTTAACAATATAATGCTTTTCAGAGGAAATGCTATTCGTGAAAACACAATAGCTTCCCTAAAAAAGGCAGCTGCTAGTGGTGCAGACTTGCTAGAGTTTGATGTTCAGCTGAGTAAAGATTTGATACCTGTTATCTATCATGATTATTATGTATGTATTTCAATGAAAAGAAAAAAGGAAGTTGAATTCACTGAAATGCTAGAGTTGCCAGTGAAGGATTTGACTTTGGAACACCTTCAAAAACTTAAGGTATATTATTTTATGTCCCAACTTCTAGCCCACAATAACAATAATAATTTATACGAATTACGTATAAAAACCAGAATTTATTCATATATTCCAGAATGTACATCATTATGTCATTTACATGGTATACTATTACTGGTCCATTCCAATAGACCCTATAGGTATACCTAGTAGAATGTAAATACCTTTCTAAAATATTTCTAAATATCTAATTACAGGTATATCATCTTGTAGAAGGCCGAAATCATGAAATACTATTCTTTGATGAAGATTTAGAAGAGCACCAGCCGTTTCCCACACTGGAAGATGCTCTAAAGAACATAGATTTACATGTTGGTTTCAATGTGGAACTAAAATGGACCATGGAGATGGACGATGGAACATTTGAGTTGAATAATCCCTTCGATATGAATACTTACGTAGATAAGGTAGGTATTATCTTATCTTTGTACGAACTTCATTATTATACAAAGCAAATATTAAGTTGGAATTCACCGACCGGTCTGCCTACGCTAAAACTCGCGCAGGTGCACGGAGCTCCGGACATCCGTTCCGAGAATAGTAGGTAGTACCAGTAGTACTTATTATTATTCTGTGGTAGTACTTATTCTTGTGTACGTAGTTCTGAGGTGGTGGATCTCGTCTAGCAGTCCGGCACGGCGTGCGCCCGCTACGATACAAACGCGTGCGTGCACCCGCGCGAGTTTTAACTGGGGCCCATATTCTACTTTTTTTTATTTCGAAACTCATATCCGAATTTGTAAACTAATTGTTTCAGGTCTTAGAAGTCGTCTTAAAAAATGCCAAGCAGCGCCGAATAGTCTTCTCTTGCTTCAACCCTGATATTTGTACAATGGTGCGATTTAAACAAAACAAATATCCTGTAATGTTTTTGACAGTTGTAAGTATATAGCATTGCTTTTTAACTTATCTGATTCCGTGTTTCTCAAACGCCTAAAACACTACAGATAAAATATTGCCTCTTTACTGAATTGGCTATTAATGAAAGTTTATGTTATGAATTTCGATTAATTAGTCTGAATGGGTTTTTTGAGATACTTCTTTAAGCTATGTATTATACATATTCTTTGTTTTTAGGGTATAACAAAAAAATATCAACCGTATCGCGATCCCAGGTGTTTATCAATACCAGCCGCTGTCCAAAGTGCCGTTAGCTCCGACATCTTAGGAATAGTTGTACATACAGAAGACCTACTCCGAGATCCTACTCAGGTACTGTATCATAAATCATGATTGGTTTAGATTGCTCATCTCATCATAATTGTACCATAAAGGTCGTTTCACACATCAGTATCATTTTGCTTATAAGCGCTTTCAAGCACTTTCTTCCGCCAAACACCCCCAATGTATGAAAGAAATATTTCGCTCTATATCGGCACTTTAATTTCATTGGTACGAGTGCGACTCGACCTTTATAGAAAGCGCACAAAGGTCTACTAGATGATGTGTGGTAAAGCGTCCATATATTCTTCAATAGATTTTGGTGACTGGATAACATTTTTATTTCATGCTCACTCATCCCTTACACCGTGTCTTTATATTAATTGGGTATACTTTATCTTATCTTTACTGTTTCAGGTAAAACTAGCCACGGATGCGGGTCTCGTGATATTTTGTTGGGGAGATGACAATAACGACAAGAATACAATCAAGATGCTAAAGGAAATGGGTTTACATGCTGTGATATACGACAAATTGGACCAGTATACTACCAAAGAAGTTAAGGTAAAGTTTGTTTAATCTAACATACCTACTTTATCACTGCTTATATTAATTTTCACCATGCGTAGATCCACTTGCAGGCTTATTCCACTATTCCCCGTTATCGCCAATTGGAGCTTATAATGGGGAATAATGAACTAAAAATTTCATTAATCCCCGTTATATTAGGATTTTATTTTGAACGTAATGAGGATTAATGAACTTTTTAGTTCATTATTCCCCATTATAAGTTCCAATTTAACGTTAACGGGGAATAGTGAACAAAAAGTTCACTTATCCCCGTTGACGTGGATTGTCAACGGGGAATAGTGGAATAAGCCCACTTGCATTGCTTGTTATATATTTTTAGCGATGCTTTATTTAATTTTGTATGTATGCAACTGACGAATGAACTTAATGACAGGAAAGCATATTCCTTGTGGAAGCTCGAGAGTCGCAGCGCGAGCTGATGCGGCTGGCTGCGCTGGACGACCTGCCGGCCACCGAGAGCTCGTCGTCGGTGCACACCGTCGTAGAGTCTGCCAATCGGCCTTTCCTTGACCTCTCTGTTCGAAACAAAATACAAGAGCGCTCCACGGTCACTTCCCTCGAGTCGCTCGCGTCGTCCATCGATCTCAGAGACGACCCAGCCGATAAAAATTTAAAACGAAACAGAGATAACAATGTCATTACAAATATTGAAAAGGAGTCTCAAGTGAAAGAGCAACGAACTTCTTTTCGGGGTATATTTCCAGCAGGAGATATTTCAAAAGAGTGCCCTAAAAAGACACGTAGAAATGAAAACGAGTAAAACTGGGTATCTATCCACATACTTAGTACTATATACCGCATAGTATAGCTGAATTAAAGATAATTTTTAAAAAGCGACAACCAAGTTAAATAATTCCTGCTGATATTTAAATATGTGAGCCACTGGAAAAAGATCCTTACTAAACAATTTTATTGTAATAATAAAAAATATTTTATGATTATGCTCTTACGATAGCGAAACAAAGAAATATTTTAAGTAACTAAACTTCCATGACATAATATGAGTAGGTTAATAAATTAATATTGGTTTCGCTCATCTCATTAACATTTGCCTCATACAGGATTCTTCTGACACGATTGTTTTTTAGTTTACAATGAAACTTTATATTTTGGAAGTAATGGATGGTGCCATTTCAGTATTTCAATAATATAAAAAATAATTTAATCGCTACTAATGTCTGTAAACGACCTACTTAATACCTGGATTGCCGGTGCAGTCCTGTTGTCCCCCCTGCTTGGCCCCCCTGGGGGAGCCAACAGGATTTAGAAATCCTGTTGTCCCCCCTGGCTAGGGGAGACAACAGGACTAGATTTTCAATCAATGATTTGAGGACTGTTGTCCCCCCTGGCAAACATTGGGTATTTAGAAGCCATATGTTTTTGTAACATTTAAGAAGTACTGGAGTACCTGACTAAATGCCATATTGCCAAACTAAATACCTAAACGAATGTCAAATAATAATTAACATTTTGTTAAAGAAAAAAATATAAGTTGTTGGTACCGGTAATATTTCTGACTACCTATTCCAAAATCTGCTTTACTTGCTTTTAACAGATCGTTATGAATTATCCCTACTAAATAATATTATACGAGTAAATGCGAAAGTAACTTCATCTGTCTGTTACGAATTCACGCATAAACCATTGAACCGATTTTGATATTTGGTAAAGAGATAGTTTTCAGTCCCGGGAAAGGACGTTGGACAGTTTTTATCCCGGTTTTTTAAACAGGAATGCGCCTTATATTTTTTTCTGTGACAGACAAAATTTTACGCGGACAAAGCCGTGGGCAAAAGCTAAGCAAGTATATGCTATTCTCATGTTAAAAAATATTGTCTTCTGTAAAAGTTGACTAAAAATCCGTTTAGTAGTTTTTACGTGAAAGAGTATCAAACATCTATACTATTCCATACTCACAAATTTTCGCATTTATAATATTAGTAGGTAGTCTAGGTAGGACGCTAAAACTGCATTACCGCAACTTCGTACGCGTGGAGTCCGTTTTACCCCCTTATGTGTAGAATTTAGTAAAATCCTGTAATCCATATTATATGCTTCGTATTATTTCCTATCCTTAAATAAATAGATAAATAAAATCCATTCTTGGCAGATGTCTACACCGTCTACACCCTATGGAACCTACCTGCCAAACTTCAAGTTTGTAGGTGTCAGTACCGGCACCAACACCTTATTTTTTTCTTTATCAAAATGGTAATTATTATTTAACAAACGTTTAGGTATTCAGTTTGGGAATTTGGCATTCAGTCAAGTACTTCAGTATTTCACAAATTATGTTATAAAAATACATGGCTTTTAAATAATGTTTTCCAGGGGGGACAACAGTCCTCAAATCATTGATTAAAAATCCAGTCCTGTTGTCTCCCCTAGCCAGGGGGGACAACAGGATTTCGAAATCCTGTTGGCTCCCCGAGGGGGGCCAAGCAGGGGGGACAACAGGACTGCACCGGATTGCCGCATAATCTGCAGGAATGACCGGTTGAGCCGCGCTAGTTAATTATTTTTTTTTGCTCAATAAGTAGTTATTCATACTTGTGATTATCATTTTCATTCTATTTAATTTAGGGAAAATTAATTTAAAACAGGGTTATCCAGCCAGTTTTAAAATTGTAGATTAAATGAATATAAATAATTATGTTCCTTATTCCCATCACATATTTTTTATAAAATTTCAATATTTTTAAAATTATAAACAAATAGACTGTGATATGTATGTAAATTGTATATTACCTGCCACATTATACCTTAGAAATTAATCAACACATTATTTTTTTATCATCAAATTGTTATTATTTTATTAATTAAATATACGCTTTTTTTCAAACCATTTAAATATTTTTATTCACACGAATAATAAATTATTTCCTTTTCATGACATGTCTGTACAAGGATTCGGCTGGTTCTTCAAATAATTAAAATTGNAGGGGGGGCTCCCGATGTCTACCGACGGAAATCCACTCAGGAGCACCCAAAGAACCACTGTTGCAAAAATGAGCCTTCTATACCAAAGTGGAGGGGTTCTTGCACTAAATTCCCTACTAGAGGTAATGTGCGAAAAATCGCGCGCGTATGTGCCCATTTTATAATAACACGTATAGTGAACATTTATTACGCAGCGGTTATGGCACACTAGATAATTCACAAGTAAATTAATCCGTTCCTTTCACTTGACACCACCGAAAGTAACTGCTTGAACTTAATAGGAGTTTTCATATCAACAACTAAGCAACTTTGGTGAGTTGTTTTGATTACGCCCGGGTTGGTTCTATTACACAGGAGTCTTATATTTTTGTATGTAACATCACTAATAGTCGGTGGTGTCGTTTTGGTGGTGTAAAGTGAAAGGAATGAATAAGACAGGTAGCTTACCTGCTAGGTACGTAAAAAGAAAACATTTGTGGTTTCAAAAATAGATATGTATTTTCAACAAAAGTTGCATAAAAGTAAATACATTATACTTAAAATAATAACACTATTATTAAGTACATACAATTCGCTTATTGGACGGAATGGTTTTCTGATATATTTAGAACACAATTTCAGATCAAACAAGAAAGTTAAAAAAAGTTTTGGAGAAAATATTGACGTACCTAAGAATATAAAATAAATAAGGTCCTTGTTGTATAAAGTAAAATCATAGATGATGATGTTCTTGGTGTTGTTGTGATGTTAAACGACGAGAAAAAAATTGATCATCACGAAAGATTTGTCACATGCTCATGTGGGAATTCTGAATACTGTAAAAGTTCCATAACTATTTTTATGCTGATCAATCACGCTCTATTCATTTTGATTTTGAAGACTGAAGATGAAAATTTAAGTTTGATTAATCTGGTGGTAATTTTGTTTAGTTCGCGTACCTACGTAAAGCAGTCTCTAAATTGTACGCGCCTCTTTCAGTATTATAGTTATACATATTTGACTATTATTAAATTCTTCACGATATACAGGGTGACTGGTAATGAGTGAACTTGTAAGGGATTATAGTACAGGTCATTCACAACATATTTGTTATGTGGGTAATATGCTTACGCAAGTAAACCATTTAAGAGATAATATTTTGATTTATAAAAAATAATTTTAAAAAGACTAACTCGTTTATATGCAGTGCAGTCCAGACAATTTAAAATAGTCTCCTTATGACTTTTTCAATATAAAATTAAAATATCTCATATTGTTCTCACAGTTGACTTTTGCATAAGCATTATGTACATAACTATAGTTGCAAATATGAGTTGTATTAAAATTCCTTACAAAGGTGTTCACTCGTCACAAGTCACTCGTGAAGTGAAAAAGTTATTGAGCAATTTTTAAGTATTCAATAATTAAAAAATAAATAGGTAAACAAATATATAAAAGGTGCTTAAGATTATAAGAAGAGTAATATAAATAATTATAGTACAACAATATTTTGAGAAGAAAACAAGCTTGCAATGTAGGTACACGTATTTTTATAGGTAAGTAGGTACTGCTTTGTTTTGATATCTTGACAGTATAAAACTATGTACAATTAATTAATATTGTGCTTTGGTTTAAAATTTTAATAACAACATTAAATATGGACAATTTAATTTGACTAGTTACATAACACTGATTTATTTTGTTATAGTCATAGGTTGTACCCGTCAAAAAAAAAACAAAAAAATTAATGAGTTAATAAAACATCTTAAGGAAAGTTATTTTACAGACATGAGTTCAGTATAGAGCGTAAAAAATACTAAAACCACAAAAAGTGTTAATGATGCGACTGTTCTTAATTAAATGCCTTAATTAAAATATGTACCATCGGCAACAGTGTTAACTATCCATTGCCTGTCATGTCGTCTCGTTCTATCGCAAAGAATCACCATTTGATGAGAGCGAGAGCAAAAACGGAAATGGATAGTTAATAGTGTGTCCGTGTGTACACAATACACATACAATTTAATGTTTCATGATAATAAAATGAGTGCGTTTTCTGCCTATGAATGTTAAAAAAAGCAATTTCAAGTAGATACTATATGGAAATTATTTCCTTGCATAATGATACCAACTATAAATACTGGATTACTTTCAATAATATTAAAGTAAGTGTGAAAGTGTAATATCTCTAGAAGATCTAAAATTCACAAGGCACATTTTTTCGAGCTAATTCATTTCATTGCATGTTTTGTATTGTACAGACATTAATATTCGGATTCCCTTTATTAGTATGGCCGTCTTAAGGCCATAGACAGATACAACTGCATATAAACTAACGTAGGTACAGGGTGTAAAAAACTGAGTGAGTTTAGCTTTCTTGCTTACAGCCAGATTATATTTCTCTAAAATATTTAAAAATCTGTAAAATGTACTTCACCAATTTTCCTCATATACTTTCTGATATAATTGCGAACGTACATAGCATGTAGAACATATAAAGTTTGCTTGAAACAAGTTGAGGTATCTACCTTTTCCCAGAGTTGTAAAAACATATAAAGAGTTTCATTATTAGTACTTAAATAATAGCTGTATACATAATTGAGAATAAGATGAACGTAAAAGGATTTCATAAAATGATTCATTAATGATGTCTTATCCTAATTATACATTTCCTTACAAAGTATTGTGTATCTATCAAGAGATCGAATAGGTTTAATTTCACTTTGCCAATAAAAAAAATTTGGTGATATAATAATAATATGATAACGTAGTGGCACCAATGACCGACAAGAACCAATGACCGACACTTTATTTTTTGATTCAATAAAATAAGAGTATAAAATCGATTTCTTAATATTTTAACACTGTACCATAGAAAGCACACTTTTGACTGCCTCCCATTGACATTTAAGCAAAATCCGCCAATTTATTTTGAAAATGGCAGTATAACAACTGATTGCGGCTGGAGTACCGGTGAAAATAACAACATTTCTTAGTAAAATCCTTAAGGAAGTGATACATTTTATGTTAATTACACTACTGTATTGTAACTTATTTGAATTTTATCTTTTTCACGGGTTACTTTAAGAACTATAGAATCCATTTTTGTTATAACGAATTTAAAATGTTATTTTGATATTAGTAAAATGTTGGTGTCGATCACTGGTTTTCACAAACTGACTTTTCCAATAATCGACACGTGTCGATAGTAATTTTTTGGAACATTTTTCATTTGACAACCGAATATAGTTATTCCTCTTCAACGACTTCTCGGGAATCAAATAATCGGCTTATTTTAGAACGATCGCGGCTATTTAAGAAATCGGAGGTTAGGTATATTTTCCCTTGATGCGAAGTACATAGCCGCACGCTTCTGTACCAGCCAGGACTGGCAGAGCTTCCGTCCTAAACCTGGTCGAGTACTTGCCAAAAAAGGAGATCGTCGATAACTGGGTGTCGGTAAGTGGCAGCTGTCGATGACTGGGTGTTGACTACTGGAGATTCGGTGTCGATGATTGGAGATTTATATGCTTTTTCATTTTTTGGGATTTTTTTCTAGTCCGTGTATAGTTAATAAAAATAATACATCCTATTCTTATCTCAAGAATATACCTTATCATTCTCAATCGTTACTTTTGGTTTAAAGATGACTAAATGACCTTTAATCTTAATAAGAAGCCCAATATCTCCTTAAAGTGTCGATCATTGGTGCCACTACGCTAGCATCTATTTAATAGCATATTAAAAGTGTTGAATTCATAAAATATACAGACTTAAATATTAGTAGAAATAAAACATTGTAAATGCCAAGTGAAAATAAACCTACTTCAATTGTTTGACAGAATTTCGTTATATTATTATGTACCAACCATAAAATATGTTCTTAAATCAAATAATAATATGTAGGTATGCTTGTACAGAAAATAAATTAATATAAAAAATTTCAATAAACATTAATTAAGTCTAGTCATAATAATACCATAAATATGGCCACTTTCATCATATAAATATGAAACTACTTATAAGTTTTAATCTATTATATCTACTATTGCAATAATTAATAACTCTCAAAACATGCAATAAATAAAATCTTTGTTTTTTTAAAAGTCTTTTAAGTACTAAGTAAGTACACGGTTAATTTTACTACACCCATGTAAAATTATGAGCAAATATTTCACACATGACATGTAGGTACGCACGTTAGCTATATTGTGTACATCGAAGTCAGCAAGTGCTTCCAAAGGATAATTAATTAGGTAGAGTTTATATTTCCAATTAATTTCCTAATAGGTAGTCTAGTTACATACAATTATTAAGGAAATATTGTGTGATTCTCTAACAATGGCGTCATGCCTTCTGTCTTCTCTTACAAATCAATTCAGTAAAAAAATAATTTAGTAAGGAATATCAGTCAGTACATAATAGTAATTGCCATAATTGATAAATAATTGAATGAGAACTTCGCACTTTGCTAGCACTGGCGTTTCGACGGGATATAATTTATTTTTATTTTCAACACAATTTAAGTATTAGTCCGCGCCAATAGATTTTAGTAATTTTGCAACTAAACTATACACGATGTCACAAAAGTAGCAGAGGGCCTAAAAAGCATTGAACAAATCTTTAAGTCCATTTTAAAAAATCGCTAAAATTTCAAAATATCAAAGTTTTCTCAGCACAGCACAGATTACCTAATAGTTACTACGTAAATATTAGGCTTGATTTCCATTTAGGCTGACGTCGTGAGTGACCGACGTTGGCGGCGCGTTGAATATTAATTAGTTCAATGAAGCAACGCTGTCGTTAGTTACATAGTAGTTACTGGTGTATGTTCGTACGCACCGCAGACATGTCGGTCACCGACGTCAGCTTACGAGAAAATCAAGACATTAGTCTTGTGTACGATGCGTCTTAGGCCCAGCTACCTCCGGTGTCAGTGTAATCCATGACACCGGAGGTAGCTGGGCCTAAGACGCTAACTTAAGGACCACCTGTATACATTGTATAAAACTGAGACTGATCTGTCACAGTGATGACACGATTGTACCTCAACAAAAATAGATTATATTGCAATACTAAGGCTAAGCAGGTTTCGTGTCAACGTCGTTAATCGTACGTCCGTATTTAATGCAATATTACTAAAATCTATAGGGTAGACTAATTGCGACATTTTAAACAGCGGTTTCATAATAAATATGTTAAAATAAATATATGTTAAATCAATACTTACATTCATAGTTGAATTCTTATAATGGAAATTTTATAGTCTTATTCTAAATTCATTCATAATGTAAGTTTTTATGGACGGAATATACAATTCGTTTTATACATACTATGTACAAATGTAACTGGTAAATATTCTTAACAGCTAACAACTACTGAATACTTTGACTGGCTGAAAATAGTTTAATTTCAGCTAGTTACTTCAGTTTGATAACACAGGTCTGCAATGGTTTTCCTCTTTGAAATCTGAGTAACGTTTTCTAGAGTTTCTGATGTGCTGATTACGAGAAAAATAATAAAAAAAATCCATCACGTCAGGATTTTTCGATATTGAATATTTAAGATTTTGCTATAAAATGTCGGAGCACCTACATTTTAAAATTTATAAAACGTCATTAAATTACTTCAGCTTAATTTTTATTGCATTTAATTAATGTAAGGGGACATAGAAATACATGCAAATCAGTAATTTGTTAATTACTACATATGAGTATAAGTAATTCGCATTAAACATGTCGAAAAAGGGGTATTTTGGCTTAATTTAGTAAAGAGCTCATGCATACATAATGATTAGGTAATATTACCTAATTGTTGTAAATATTATTAGAAAAGGGTGTAATAAAGATAAACTAAAGGGTTTTTGTATAAGTACCCGCACTGATTTGGAAAATTAACAGTTGAACTGGATATAAACTTTAAAATATCATCGCGAAGTTGTTTAAATTCTCCGAATAGTTTTTGTAATATTTGCGGGAAATTTATGGTGATAAAACAACGAAACAGCATTACAGACTTCGTGAAAAATATAATATTTACAAAAGTAATTATGGATACATTGTAATCAAGACAAAACTTGGACTCCTCATAAAACTTGTACGACTTGTTAATTAGAACTTCGCAAGGTGGTCAAAAGGACAAAAAAATTGCTTCAAAATCGTTTCGCCTATGCTATGGATATGTCTATACTCCGACTATAAAGAAATAGAGGCCAAAATGATTACAAATTTTGGTGTAATGGGTTGTAATATGAGCATTAAACTTAATTTTCTTAATTCGCACATTGATTACTTCCCAGAAGTCAGTCAGTCAGTTAACGAAGACATGGCGAAAGATTTCACCAAGATTTGAAAGAGCTTGAAGTCCGGTATCAAGGAAGATAGAATACTAGCATTATGGCGGACTATTGTTGGTTATTGAAGCGCGACGATCCAAACCGGAAATTTAAGCGAAAATCGGACAACCGAAGCTTCCAGGAAAAAAGGACCAGGTTCCACAAATAAAATTTATATGTAATTTAGACCAGTAATAAGTTGTTATTATATTTTAGTAGTTATTTAAGTTAAAAGTAATTTACTTCTTTAAATATATTTTTTTTATGTGAAAACTTGTGATATTTTACCTTTTTTCTATCTGTACCTTTTTTGAAAAATCTGGAGGTGATGGAGAAAAACTAAGTACATATTCGTAATCAGCGCACCAAAATACCTTAGAATCAGCTATCAAATTCCAGAGAGGAAGTTATGACCCTCATTTTGCAGGCCTGTGTAATTTAAAATATTTTTTTAAAAATCTCTAAAATACTAAATATTGGACGGATATACAAAATTGTTTTATTATAATACATAATATGTATATGTAAAATATCTTCACAACTTTAATACAACTGAATACTTTGATTGGGGAGAGAAAAGAATTTTGCAATACCGGCTGGTGGTTTAGTTTGCAGATGTTCTTCTATAAATTGGCACGGACATACGTACTTTTCGCCGTGACGCCCTGGAACAGTGCTGCTGAGATTCAACCTGTTTTTGACGGCGTACGCACCCCATCGACCGATGTACCGAAAATATAGAAGCTCACCCCGTTCCTGCGGAAAGAAAGATTAGGTTACGAAAGTAGTTATGATACGTTTAGTTTATGTAAGAAAAAAGATTGAGACTTGCCAAACTTTGGGTCGGTTTGGTCAGTCGAGACCGCGCCGCCTGAGCCAGTCGTTGCAGAGCGGGCAACAGGCGCGGGTGTCTTTCGGCTCTTTGTTCCGTAATATCTCCTCAATGTACTGACAAGGGCAGAGCGCCTGTGTTAGGTGGCGCGGCGCCGCGGGGTTGCCGCCCTCCTCGTCTAGCGTCCAGTCGAGGCGGCGCCGCAAGTAGTCTTTGCCCCACCGCTGCAGGTACCGGAGGTACACTTGCTCTGCCATACCCTGCACATTCATATGCCTCGCTTACCCACTAAAACTACTCACACCGTTATTTCCTTAAATAAGGGTTAGTTAAGATTAAATATTTATCATGCAATGCAAGCAATAAAATATATTATTATTTTTCTAGAAAAAAAAGAGGCTGACGAGATTCTTGCGCTGTGCTTCTTCATAGCACTGGCCCATTTATTGTCCTGAAGCAGTGGTAGGGTTAATACTGGGACGTGTAAAAGTGCTTCTTAAAAGCCTACTTGCATAAATAAATGAATTTTTCAGTTTCTTTTTGTAAAGTTAGAGATAGAAGTAGAGAGCAGATATAATAAGCAAATACATATTTGTCGTGACGTGCGTCTGCCTCCACTCCTCTCTCTCTCTCTCTACATAATTTGCCATTTCCATATTTTTTACTAAAACCTATAAATTACTTGGTGCATTAATAGTAAAAATAAAATTGTTGCTCCAAAATGATTCAAAAGAAACAGAATTTACACAGAACTCGCGTAATTACACAGGGTGACTTGAACCGCCATCGCGCCATGCGCCATAGCAAATTCTCATGCCATGAAAAAAATACATTACTTATGTATCTCCTAAACTACTACTGTTTAGCTAGGTAAGGTCTAATAGTTTGCAAACAACTACCTCCTCTTGCATGGGAATTTGCTATGGCGGTTTGCAGTCACCCTATATTATGAGTATAAAATAAAATACCCTATATCTGATACCTTATGAAATCATAGGGTATTAATGAAATTAATCAAATTAATGAACTTAGTTTCAAATCTTCTAATTTCCTTTAAACATACATGAAATTAATTAAACGGCCGTCCGTTTGGTGTTGTGGTTCGTAACGGACTACAATAATAGCGAGGTCGCGGGTTCGATCCCCGCACAGTACAAATATCTATCTAAATAATATGTACGTATTTAAAAAAATATTTAAGTATGTTTGGGACTAAAGGCGCAGTTTAAAATGTCCAAAGATATTTATTTATTCATTATTTTATTTACCCAAAATAACTAGATTTTTTATAATATACTTACAGGGTGTTTGGCGGAAGGTTAGACAAGCTTCGTAGGTGTTTAGGTAAGGTCATTTTAAGAATAAAAGTTCGCCCATTTCACCCTGAGTGAGCTACTTTTTTTATTGATATTTTTGTTTTAATTTATTTTTTTCCGAAATTTGACCTAAAAACTGCTTCAATTTTTTTTCTCGCGTGTTTTCAACCGCTTTTTTTATTTGTATTAATATCGAATATGTCTTAAATCAAATGAAATAAATTTCAGACCCAGATAATGATTGGATAGCTAGTTACGAGCCGCCAAAGTTTAACAAAAGTAAAAACCACTATAAAAAATTCAACATAGAATTCGATTAAAAAAAAAAAAAGTTGATAATGGATTGCCAAAGATCTTAAAAACATCTCTAGCTTCTCTTCTTTCTAATGATACATCACATGTAGTAATTAGATACTGAAATTTGACAAAAATTCAAAGTTTAAGGAAGAAAATGGAATAATAATACAAAAATAATCCAATCATCATCTGGACCTTAAATTTATTTTATTTGATTAAAGATATATTCGATATTAATATCAAATAAAAAAAGCGGTTGAAAACACGCGAGAAAAAAAATTGAAACAGTTTTCAAGTCAACAGAAAAATTTAATAAAAACAAAAATATCAATTAAAAAAAAGTAGCTTACTTAGGGTCAAATGGGCGAACTCGTATTCTTAAAATAACCTTACCTATACACCCACGAAGTTTGTCTAACCTTCTGCCAAACACCCTGTATTTATTTACTTAAACACTTAAAGGTGAATTTTATTTTTGCCAAAGTACCTAACGTTTTTGTGTTAATTTTTTTATTCCCAGTCACAGAAGTGGAATTACACATAAAATCATGCATACAAACAAATCCAGTCACCTAGTTTAACACTTCTGGCACACAACTGGCAAAATTACAGCTATTCCATACTATTTGAACGTCAGCACATTGCGTCTGACAATATCAAAACATTATGACACTCTCATGACTCCCTGACTCATGCCAGTTGTGTGTCAAGCATCGGTTTAAGGTAGGGTTTCTGCTCGAGCCTTCTCGAACTCGAGAAAACTCGAGAAATTTGGCTTCATTCGAGACGAGAAAAAAATTACCGGAGCTCGAGAATTCTCGAGTTTCGATTTTGAAGCTTTAATACTCTTGAAAGCCTGTTTTCTTAGACAAAAGTAAGTTTTTAATTATTTAATAGGTTAACGTTGCTTTTAGACTGGCCTAGTCTTCCTTTTTTAACTGATGAATGATCTCAATCGAAACTAAATAATAATGTTTACCTACGAGTATGCTATACCTATTTATTATGTATGTTTAACTCTGACTGATTTAAAGACCGAAAAATTTGTTAACTGTCTGTTAGGTTAGGTACTCGTGCCTCCTCGTAAAGTTTATTCAAGTCGTTATCCTAATGAAATTTAAAAAATTATTAAAAAGTGTTTTTTTATTTGTAAAAAAAAACTATTTATCGTAATTTTGCTATTTGGACTTGTGTCCTTTGGAAAACAAGTGATTCAATTGTAGCTCCAGATTTTTTATTGTTATTTATCCTTACAGTACACGCGACTTTATGACTTTTGTTCCTTTAGTTAATAACTAAGTTATGATTATTAGTTAATATTAATTATGAAAGAAGATTTCATTTTTTGTTTGTTTCCTTACCAAAATAAGTGGTACTAAATTCTAATATTGATTGTTGTGCATTAAAGTAGGTATATTAGATTAAAAAACCTATGTTTTTATTAAATTTCAACCGATTTCAACAGTTTTAATTGAAAGACTCGAGACCCGAGAAAACTCGAGACTTTCGCCTCGAGAATTCCCGAAACTCGAGAAAAAAAATAGGTCGAGAAATCAGAAACCCTANAGTTGTGTGTCAAGCATCGGTTTAAGGTAAGTATAATGTGGTATTATGATAATAATGATTGTGATGAATTTAATTCCCAAGAAAACCATGACATATTTATATTGTGTCAATAGATTAGTGTTCCAATGGTTAGGTTTTATGAAAATGTACATTATTTGTGTCAGTAGATATTAGCATGAGAATGTAAAGGATATGGCAAACATATTATTTTCTATCATTTTTATTGAGTTAAGCGGCAGTTCTATTTCAATGGAGTCCTAGTATACCGACAGATTTAATTCAATAATGCCTACTTAAGACTAAATTATTAAAATAAAATAATGAATGAGAAAACTTTTGTGTATCATCAATAACTTAATAAGTAAGTTTTGGTGAAACTTAACAAAGAAACCTATAAAAAGGTAAATTAAATTTTGTGTGAATACATACCTGTCTTCTTGATAGCCTTGTGGATTGACTTCCTTGTATAACTATATCATTAGCAGAAACATCAAGCCTTTGCTCCCAGCCTTGCATTATAGTCTTACCCTCTTCACTCTCAATAAATTGCTGTATATGAGCAATACAAGGCCCAGAATCAAAATATATAAAGCAAAGATTAACTTTGTGACATGATATTTTACCTCTATCATCCAAAGTAAGAATAAGTTTGTGTTTGTTGAGCAACTTATTAACACTTGATAAACATTGTTCTAGGCCCTTTGAAAGTCGTAACTTGATCCACATACATAAAAATATGGCAGCTGCATTAAGTATTAACCATAATACTCCAAGGGAAAATAAAGTTAAACCTGTTAGACCTGAGAACAATAGAGCTAAGAGTACAAGAAATGCAAGGCTGATCCAACACATAAGGACTCGCTTGTAGCATATATTGTATAGGGTAAAACGGGCATCATTCACTAGTAACTCCATAGCATGGACATATTCTTCTACGGTTAGCTGAAATAAAAGATATGCTTATAATACTTACATCAACCAAACACAGGATTATATTAGGTAAAGAAAAATAAAACTTACAGTGAGCCCTTGAGCCATCAATTCTTCAGGTACCAACTCAGGACGGAAATGGGCAGCAGTTATCCAGGGCCATTTTGAGTTAACAGGTAAAAGTGTTACTATTATGTCACCATTGGCTATAATGATATGAAAACCATCAATCAACAAAAGACAATGTAATAGTATTTGTCTTAGAGTATTTTTTGTAAATTTGTGATAAGTAGGTATATCACGATGAAAATAATTTAATACTTACTAAAACCATGACGTATGTTAACGAACTCTACGTTTTTCGACAAAGTACCCTGCGTTGCAGTTTCCGTGTTTCTGTCTCCACGTTCTAAGTTTACGTGCACAGTCTCTGTGGTCAAGACTGCTGGAGGTTGGGTAGCACATTTAGTGGAAGTGGTAGCTGCGACATCGGTTTCTTCTACATCAACTTGTGTTTCACCTCCTAGGGGATTGCTTGTTTGCCCCGTTTCCTCGTCAAATTTCACCCAACCATGTCGTGTCTTGTCACGATTTACATTACCATTGGCTTCATTTGCTTCTGGCAATTTACTATGTGCATCTATTTCACTCATTTTCAAATAACAACAAATTAATATTTAATTTCTCGCTCAACTTTCCAATCAGAATTTTTCGTCCGTGTGAGTGATTAATCACAGACAATTTTTTTAATTTATGTCACATTGTGTCACATGTCAACAGTGTCAGTTGGAACCAAAGATACTTCTTCTTCTTCTTTTTTGATGTTGGCAATACATGTGGAGGCCAACTTGATTTGTGCCATTTTCAAATTTCAAGTCAAGTGAGACGAGTTACAAAATGGGACAAGTGGGATGGGACTTCATACATATGGACTACTTGAGAGAATCCGAAGAATCATACTGCCCAGGGCCTCGATTGCGCTAATTTTTAACGTCTCCAATTCATTGGTGCTTCTTCTCCAGTTGCGCTCCGTTTTTCATTCCAGCTGAGGTGCAAATTCGGTATCGCGGTCGGTAAAGTTCACGCGCAAATGCGCAAACAAAGACGAAACAACGGATTTAATACTTTCCAATAAAAGTCCGAACACCTTGTTTTTTCACTAAAACACAGCAAATGTTAGTGAAGGCGTTTGACTCGAGTTTGAGGAAAAGTAACTTTCTTCTTTCTTTCAGCTTTTACACAAAGATGCAGTTACGTTTTGTTTTCGTTTTATCTAGCTGTCAAAGCGACACCGCGATACGAATTTGTGATTTTCGTTCGTCGTCTCAAGCAGCGGTTCCCGAATGGTGGTCCGCGGAACCCTGGGGTTCCGTGGAAAGGCCGCAAGGGTTCCGTAAAAAATATTATCCCACGTTTCGTGACCGACGTTGTTCGCTCGCACCGACTTGTTTACGCACAAGGGAGGGGCAGGGCGTGCGGGCGGAGTAGTACGGGGGTTCCGCTAGGAAAAGTATAATCAATTAGGGTTCCTTGGCAAAATAAAATTGGGAAACCCTGGTCTAAAGCCTGGTCCGTGAGCACGTAGAATCCCGTCCAATGACCCCAAGCTACCCATCCCTATCGCTCGCGCGTAATTATGTTGCTGTCGCGACTGTGCGACGGGCAGGGCCGCCGCAAGCGGGCGTGCAATGCGTGCACCGCACGCGGGCGGCACGCCCAGGGGGGCGGCAAATCGGGCGCTCAGAGCTTCCGAGAAGAGAAGCTCAGGGCGCTTAGAACAGCTGGGATCACGCAGCTGTTCCCGTCTGACGGAAGAGATGGTGTGTGCAATGCAGGCGGGGGCACCCCCACACTATCAGCCGCTGACCATCATCGTGGAGGGGAATCAGGAAGCGATCATATTGTCCCCTCCTCTGACCCCCCCGCCGCCGACGGAGTGAGGGCGCGTTTGGTTCGTCCTCGTGCTCTCGCTCCGAGGACTCATTTTGCAACATGACGTTTTTGCAGAAGGAGGCTATTGCCGCCCAGGCCTCATTACTGTCCAGCATTGCTTTGACTATGCTAGCCAGCACGAGGTCCCGGCCCAGCGCCTCGAGCCCACGCCGCACACACTGCGAGGGTATCGTGCGCCTCGTCCTCCGAGCCACGCGGCGGACCACCTCTCTTCTCGAACGGGCCTCTCGACTTCTGTCGAGAATGTCAACCCATATGAGAGCCCCGTAAAGCGCAATGCTTTTCAAAATGCTGGCGTATANCTTATATTACCTACTGTACAAATGAGACAGTAAATTTACCTGATATTACCTACTAGAAATAGTAAAGGTTCATTCCTTTCATCATCATCTGATGATGATGATCTGATGATTTCAGCCACAGGACGTCCACTGCTGGCTGAACATAGGCCTCCCCCAAAGACTTCAACATCGCACGGTTGGTAGCGGCCTGCATCCAGCGCCTTCCTGCTACCTTTATCAGGTCGTCGGTCCACCTTGTTGGTGGACATCCCACGCTGCGTTTTCCGTACGGCTAGCACGAAAAACTTTCCGAGTTTGAATCGTTTGCGTATTCGAATCGTCATCAAAAGGTTTAGTGCGAAAACTACAACAGCGCCTTTGTGAACGTGTCGTAAAGTGAACTTAGTATGAGTACTAAAGCCTGGTCCGTAAGCACGTAGAATTTTGTCCAATGACCCCAAGCTACCCATCCTTATCGCTCGCGCGTAATTATATTGCTGTCGCGACTGTGCGACGCGCGCTCGCAGTGAGTGTGCGAGCGCGAGAGCAACATAATTACGCGCGAGCGATAAGGATGGGTAGCTAGTAGAGGTGGGCGCCGATATAAAATTGGCCGGCGGCGGCGCGCCGACTTTTTGACCTCGGCGGCGGCGGCGTCGGCGGCGTGACCTTGTTTGACCTTTGTTCATTAGGTATTTTTTTTAAATCCGGTTTTTTTAGTATCTGTCGTCAAGACTAATCAGGTGATTTGCAGTTGGTTGGGGTCACTTGGGGTTTGAGCCACTAGAGCAATGGTTTACCCTAGTAAATTAGCTCTCTTGATCATAGATAGGTACTTTAATATTTGGATAGCGGGTTTGGCTGAGATCAGGTTCTCGTGTACTTCCTAACGGCGAGCGTGACAATGTGCCGATAAAAGTACCTTTAACATGTATTTTTGAGCTCTTTGGAGGCACATAGTTAATGTTGGATTAGCTGGCTGTCGGTAGAACATTATATTCAGTTCTGTTTTATTTATATTTATGGTCTTTCCATGTCATCCTACGGTCCGGTATGGTCCGGTGCGCCACTTGGTCAGCCAAGCAGCTGACTTTGCAACAGTCTAGTCAGTTAAAGATCACAGTTACATTTGAGGAATGCCGCAGCTTTCTGGTGTCTGGGCTACTTTACTAGTAGATGTTATAGAGTATCGGACCAAGTACAGATTTCTGGGGTACTCCAGCTCTGCAGCTAAAAAGAGAAGATTTTGTCACCGAGTTTGATTTAAAACTGTCTGTCACTGAGATAAGAATCCATCAGCAGGTAGTAGAAGTGTGCTAGAAGGTACTTTTTAATTTCATAGAGTAGTCCTTTATGATGAACCACATGCTACGTCTTCCTGCTTGTGGTCGCCACTCAAAAACTTTACTGCCCCAGCAGCCATCAGCTCTACGAGATATGTGCCCCGCCCACTGCCACTTGATTTTAGCGATTCTGTGGGCTATGTCAGTCACTTTGTCCTCCTGCGTCTTTCGTCCTCAATTAGCGTAGTAGGAATCAATCTTCTACTTTGAACTTGAGGAGGGTAAGCGGAAACATGGCGGACAACTCCTCAGATAGTCAAGTAAAAAAATGTCCAGAAGTAGCATACGAAAAGATGCAAAATCAGCCCTCTCAAATCACAATGGGAATGTTATTAAGGTAAAGGGTAGTAAGGGATTATCCGTGTCAATGGGTTTAAATAAACCGGCTTGTCATGTAGCAAAAGTCTGAGATTTTTCTTGTCAGTTCGCACTCGCCACTCATGTATTACCAGACCTAATAAGCGGAGAACACTTTGAGGGNTTTCGCTCCATAGTGGGCCAGGGCGTGCGGGCGGAGTAGTACGGGGGTTCCGCTAGGAAAAGTATAATCAATTAGGGTTCCTTGGCAAAATAAAATTGGGAAACCCTGGTCTAAAGCCTGGTCCGTGAGCACGTAGAATCCCGTCCAATGACCCCAAGCTACCCATCCCTATCGCTCGCGCGTAATTATGTTGCTGTCGCGACTGTGCGACGGGCGCCAGCAGTGAGTGTGCGAGCGATAGGGATGGGTAGCTTGGGGTCATTGGACGGGATTCTACGTGCTCACGGACCAGGCTTTAGTCACGTTGTAGTTGAAAATATTTAGCGCAATCGGGGCACTGTTTCATTTGCCCACACTCATTCATGTTTACGAACACTTGTTAATAATCCTCCATTATTACACATTAATAGTCGTCAAACGTGTCTTCTTCTTTCTTCTTTTCAGCCAAATGACGTCCACTGCTGGACAAAGGCCTCCCCCAAGGTTTTCCACAATGAACGGTCCTGCGCTGCCCGCATCCAGGCTCTTCCCGCGACCTTTACCAGATCGTCGGTCCACCTAGTAGGAGGCCTGCCCACGCTACGTCTTCCAGCCCGTGGTCGCCACTCGAGAACTTTCCTGCCCCAACGGCCATCGTCTCTACGAGCTATGTGCCCCGCCCACTGCCACTTGATTTTAGCAATTCTGCGAGCTATGTCGGTTACTTTGGTTCTCCTGCGGATCTCCTCATTTCTGATTCGATCACGCAGGGAAACTCCGAGCATAGCCCGCTCCATCGCCCTTTGGGTGACCTTGAGCCTTCTTATGAGGCCCATAGTAAGCGACCACGTCTCAGATCCGTATACCATCACTGGCAACACGCATTGGTCAAATACTTTCGACTTAAGACACTGCGGTATTTCGGACGTGAGTATATGGCGAAGCTTCCCGAACGCTGTGGGCGCCGATATAAAATTGGCCGGCGGCGGCGCGCCGACTTTTTGACCTCGGCGGCGGCGGCGTCGGCGGCGTGACCTTGTTTGACCTTTGTTCATTAGGTATTTTTTTTAAATCCGGTTTTTTTAGTATCTGTCGTCAAGACTAATCAGGTGATTTGCAGTTGGTTGGGGTCACTTGGGGTTTGAGCCACTAGAGCAATGGTTTACCCTAGTAAATTAGCTCTCTTGATCATAGATAGGTACTTTAATATTTGGATAGCGGGTTTGGCTGAGATCAGGTTCTCGTGTACTTCCTAACGGCGAGCGTGACAATGTGCCGATAAAAGTACCTTTAACATGTATTTTTGAGCTCTTTGGAGGCACATAGTTAATGTTGGATTAGCTGGCTGTCGGTAGAACATTATATTCAGTTCTGTTTTATTTATATTTATGGTCTTTCCATGTCATCCTACGGTCCGGTATGGTCCGGTGCGCCACTTGGTCAGCCAAGCAGCTGACTTTGCAACAGTCTAGTCAGTTAAAGATCACAGTTACATTTGAGGAATGCCGCAGCTTTCTGGTGTCTGGGCTACTTTACTAGTAGATGTTATAGAGTATCGGACCAAGTACAGATTTCTGGGGTACTCCAGCTCTGCAGCTAAAAAGAGAAGATTTTGTCACCGAGTTTGATTTAAAACTGTCTGTCACTGAGATAAGAATCCATCAGCAGGTAGTAGAAGTGTGCTAGAAGGTACTTTTTAATTTCATAGAGTAGTCCTTTATG